AGTCGGACTCGGCTGGCTTTCGAGCAAGGGAACCTTTACCTTTTTATGAGACCCCTAGTACCTCCTGTACCAGGGTCAGCACAAGGATTTTCAGCACCCTAGTCGAATGACTTTGCCACACACACACACACTCCAAGCCATGGGGAAGATGCCACCCACCCACCTCCTAACCACGCTTCAGGTAAGTTGCCACCACCTTTCTTCTCTTTCCTGGCATCAGGATGTTATCTGTTCCCGGATGTAGGTATTCATATCTGTAGGAGTCCTTTGCCATGGACCAAGGTAAACTACAAAGTGAACAAAGCTCTTCTTGTAGGGCTTATCCTTTATTGGTTAATCATTACCAAACGTTGGAAAGAAAATGAATTCTGCCTTCTTTGAGCAGAGAAGCACTTTTTAGGAGGATAGCGGCGTCCCACGACCACTGAAGCCAGATTGGCTTCAGTCCTATCATTTCCTCTGTAGACTAGATCTGATAGGTTGTTAAATCAAAGGAATTAATATTTCATCAGCTGTTTTCACTGGAAGGTCTGGTTGGATGACTGACCTTTCTTCATTCTGCCCCATCAAAAACCCTTCCAACAGAGGTTTACATCTTGCCTAATGAGGTGCATTGTCAGTGCCAATGAACCATGATACCCTTTTTATGAACTGTTCACTGAACAGCATCATTCTGGCCCGTAAGCCATCTTGCAAATGGCCATATGGTGTCCTCTTAGAAGTTTCATTTCAATGAGGGAAACCCAGGAACAATCTGATACCAACATTGTCATGACATTTGCCCCAAACACAACTCTAATTCTAGCTGGTTTAAGAATTCAAAGTACTCTGTATTTGAGTAATCTGAAATAATTTTATTTGCATGCCCTATAGCAAAATTCCTCTGGCTCTTCTTGAGAAAGATTTTGTGACAATAAGGGGATGTATAAGAGAAGAATCCTACCAAATTATTTGGTGACAGTAACAAATCTATTGTGGAAAGCACTTAGATGTATTTGAGTCTACTTCATCGGATGCATTCCCCCTCTTTGTTTAATACCAAATTTAAGTCTGTCCTCTGAAAAAAACGTTTTGTTTGTGATTGTCATGGGCTGTATCTCTCCAGAGCATTTAAAAATGTCTCCATGGTGTTTTCCTAATAAACTCATGGGTTTTTTAAAAAAATACCCCAATAGGATATTTTTGCTACCCCCTGGGTTAAAAAAATGCAACAATGGCAAAAATGCACACATTTTTTCAGGAGAAGGTTCCTACCTAGGTGGGGTTTTTGATTTGGGGGGTTGTATGTTTATTTACAGGAAGTAAACTGCACGTTTGGCTGTACAAATGATAATGTCCTATGAAGAAAAAGTTCTAGAGCCACTTTTCTCTGACTTCTATCAAAAAGTATAGATTGGGTAGCTAAATTACCCCACTAGTTTTTTCCAGCTTTTACACAGCCTGATAAAATGTTCTGTGAAACAAAAAAAATGCACACTGTTGTACTATTTTGTTTGGTCTTAATAGGAGCACAGTCTTCCAGTTATATCTACTTTATAAACAGCCCCATCTAGATTATGCTGAGGTAGCTACACTGACGCTGAACTGCAGGCTGTGGAAGGTCAGTAGTTCAGCAGTTCAAGACCCGAGTTGCCGCATGACGGAGTGAGCTCCCGTCTCTAGTTCCAGCTCCTTCCAACCTAGCAGTCCGAAAGCAAGATATTGCAAGTAGATAAATAGGTACCACTTCGGTGGGAAGGTAACAGCGTTCTGTGCGCCTTGGTGTTTAGTCATGCCGACCACATGACCACGGAAACGTCTTCAGACAGCGCTGGCTCTTCGGCTTTGAAATGGAGATGAGCACCGCAACCCTAGAGTCGGACTCGACTGGCTTTCGAGCAAGGGAACCTTTACCTTTACCTAGCTACACTGATCCATGCTGTAGCACTGTACATGTGCTGTACAGGGACCTGCCTTTAAAGAAGTTGTGGAAGCTTCAGTTGGTACAAAATGGAACCGCAAGGCGCATGTCTGGGATCAGGCGCTCAGAAGGCATGACTCAAGCGCTGTGTCAACTGCATGGGTTACCTTACCTCCTTCCAGACGCCATTCGAAGTGTTGGTTATTAGTTATTACCTCTGAAGCCCTTCATTTGCTCCGTGTCCTCATACTTCCCAAACTGCATCTCCCACACTCCTATGCGCCAGCTACATTCTTCAGACCGGCTTCTCTTCATGCTGCCCTCCCTTACAGGGGCAGATTGGCCACGGGGCCACCAGGACTTTTCCTAGTGGGCTGATGACCCCCCCCCAGCCCAGCTCAGTGGTAGAAGGGTTGTGCCCAGCTTACCTGAGCTTCATGTAGTCCATTGAAAGAAGTACCTACCTGGATGGGCGAGCAGACAGGTTATCTGTTTCCCCCCCTTCTTTGGGGGGGGCAGGGCCCTTCCCGGAGGTGTTTTCCCTCCCAGTCCGCCCCTGCTCCTTTAGGACTGTCCGTATGGCTACAGCTAGATCATGATTTCTTTCTGTGATGGGTCCAGTCCTTTGGATTGACCTACCAGAGTGGGTGAAGTCTTCACCGGCCCTAGTCACATGGACAACTTGCCATGCAAAAAGCATGAATGCTGGGCGGATTTTCGGGGCGTGATCACACCGCAACATCTGGGAAGCATAGCGCACCTGTGGCCTACCCGTGGTGTCCCGCAGAAGAGGCGGAGTTAAAAAGTACAAAGGAAAGTGCACTAGTATCCGGAAAACGCGTGGTACAGGTGGGCGTCTGATCGCGGGAGCACTAGTATCCCGTGGCATCTGGCGCCTGTCCACGTCCCGTCGCAAACCGGATGTTTTTCGTATGCGCATGCGCACAAACATGAAACTGAAAGAAGTGCTGCTCCACGGAACTGTACATGGGCACAAATGCTAAATGCTTGTGTGATCGCACCACGCCGCTTCTTTGCCACACTGCAGCATCGCCGTGTGATCGCCAGCTAACAGCCAAAGCATGGAGACTTGGGGGACCGTGTGATCGGGCTACCGTGCTTAATTTTGCTCCAGGACAAACAGCCATGCCTCCCTCCCCCCCCACGTTATCTGGCCATTGTGACCGGGGCCACTGTCTACATGTTAAGCCAGTTTTACACCAGAGAGCATCTAGTGGGTGGTAATTTGTTTCAGCAGATTTGGCTGTGTTCATTCTGATTCTCTGTGTTTTTATTTAATTCCGCATGTTCTAAAACTCTGGACGCTTTTAATTTGTAGTTTGTGCACTTGAGTTTGGTGACTGGATTGGTATATTTTGTGCCCTCTCAACTTGGTTGCTGCCCGGCCAGCAGCCTTGAGTCAGAGGGAATAAGGAGAGAAGTGTCTTACATAACAAACATGTCTAACATAGCTTTGTTGGTCTGTGTCTCCTGTGGCCCAGCAAGTCTACCTGCATCTTTTGTCTACTGCTTAGGAAGTAAGCTCCTGCCTGTGGAAACTCAAGCCAGTTATGTGTTAAGGCCATTTCATTCCCTAATGGTAGCAGGGTAGCAGTAAATCCTGTCTCAAAACGAAGCTGTAGTTGAAGCCTCCATCTGTGGCTCACCCTGATCCACCCTGCTAACCCTTTTGCCTCAATCCACAGCAGCTATTGTCATTGCCAGCGAGGAGACTCACTACAGCCTGCACGAACCTCCTCGCTTTGGTGTAAAGTGAGGACTCTGGAGCCAAGGAACTCCACACACACGAAATTGACAAAGTACGCTCTATATTCCTCCCAGAGAAGTGTTTGGAAGAGGTTCCTAACAGGAGACTCACTGGCATGTGCGGTAGCTGTATGGGTATAAAGTTGGGGGTGGCCCATCAAAGAAAACCTCACAGTGCAATAAAGCAAACCAGCCCCGAGCTCAGAACGCCCCAGACTTCATCACAGCGAGCCACAAAAGGCTCCGGTCGCCCAAGCATCAAAAAAAAACAACCCACAGATGGAAACGCTTGCAAAGCGACCTGCTTCAAACGGAACGCACGAGCCAGTTAATCCGGGGCGACTCAATATAGGAAGACCGCAGCCTCCTTTGTATTATGTGGGTTTCTTTTAATGAAAGGGGAGGGGAGGCTGCGGTTTCCCCCGTGCGTGTCTCCGCTGAAATCCAACACCTCTCCAAGTAATTCATCCGGCCGCTCTCGCGTCGCCGGAACAAGCTCGCCCTCGGTCTTTTTTCGCCATCTTTCGAGACCCGCATTCCCCCCCCCTCTCTTTCTAAAGGTAAAGGTTCCCTTGCTCGAAAGCCAGTCGAGTCCGACTCTAGGGTTGCGGTGCTCATCTCCGTTTCCAAGCCGAAGAGCCAGCGCTGTCCGAAGACGTTTCCGTGGTCATGTGGCCGGCATGACTAAACGCGGAGGCGCACGGAACGCTGTTCCCTTCCCACCGAAGTGGTCCCTATTTATCTCCTTGCCATTTCTTGCTTTCGAACTGCTAGGTTGGCAGGCCTCTTTCTAAAAGCCCTCCGTTAACATTGGCTTACAGTCCAGTTCCCATTGCTCTCCTCCGTCTCTACGCAAGAGCTATCTGCAGTCTGATTTTTTTCCAGCTGTCCGAAGGGTTGCCGGAAAAGTGACTTAATTCTGGGTGGGGGAAGAATCCATTCGCTCTACGCTAAAAGGCCCTCTTCCAAACGTTTAAAAAGGCAGCGACGCTCACAACAACCGGGAAAAAATGCAGCCGCGGCGAAGCAGCAGCCACTGCAACAGCCGAGCGCAAACAAAGGGAGCGCAGCGCCTCTACGCGGGCCGGGTGTCGGGTTACGCAGCCCACTCTTTAAATCGCCGGGGCGCCGCGTTACGCAGCCCTCCCTCCTCCGAACCACAGCCCCGAGACGGACAAGGCCCGCGGTCCAATGGCAAGGGCGCTGGCCCTTTTGGCGCCGGGACCGACTCCGCCGTCGCGCCAATCCGGAGCCGGAGGAGGCGGGCCGGCGCCCCGGGTCGGGCGGCGCGTCGGCCAATGGCAGGCGTGTTATTGCGGAGCGATAGTATTATGCTAATCGTTGTTTTGCTCGCGCTCACTCGGCGAGGGCTTTAAAAAGGGAGGCAGGCGCAGGCTGGGCGCTAGAAGGGAGCCGAGGGGGGGCGCCGCGGGCGGATCGGTTGTGGCTCTCGGCGCAGTCTCCCCCCCAGCCCGCCCCCCGCGATCGGGACCGCCGAGACGCGCCCGGGCGAAGGCGGCGGCCGCCCTCCCTCGCTCGGAACGGGCACCATGTCCAACGTGCACCTCTCCAGCGCCTCGACCCTGGAGCGCCTGGCCGCCCGCCGGACTTTCCCGCTCCACGCCCGCACCGGGGTGTGCAGGAACCTCTTCGGCCCCGTGGACCACGACGAGCTCAACCGGGAGCTGCGGAGCAAGCTGCGGGAGATCCGCGAGGACAGCCAGCGGCGCTGGGACTACGACTTCCAGAGCGAGGCGCCGCTGCCCGGCCCGGGCCGGCTGCAGTGGGAGGCGGTGGCGGGCGACGCCGTGCCCGCCTTCTACCGGGAGAGCCTGCAGGTCGGGAGGGGCCGCTTCCCGGTGCTGGTGGTGCGAGCCAAGCCGCCGTCTGACAGCGCCCCGGCGGAGCCCAGAGACTCTCCCCAGGACTCGCAGGGGCTGACTTCTGCTTCGGGGCCCCCGGGCATGCCTGCCGCCTTGGGCAGCGCCGCGGCGGGGGCCGAGGACCGCCTCAACCAGGAGAACCGGGCCGGCCGGCTCAACAACAACTTCTCAGGGATTATCCTCAAGCCCGTCCCGACGTGCGCGGCGACGGCTCTGAAAAGGGCATCTTCGGCCGGCGTCGCTCACATCACAGGTAAGCCCCGCAAGCCGCGCTCTGTAATGCACGGAGGAGGACTCCACCCTGTCCAGTGTTCCCTCTAAGCTGAGTGAGTGTGAGCCAGCTCACATTTTTTTTAGCCTCCGGCGCACAGATTTTTGTCTCCGCTCCGGAAGGATGGGCTCCGGAGCAAACTGATTGATGCAGGAGCCCAATCGCTCGCTCACCACTTTAATGCCAGCGGCTCACAAAGTGGGATTTTTGCGCACAGGACTCCAAAGCTTAGAGGGAACATTAACCCTGTCCCTCCCGTCGCGAAATAGACCCCCCGGGGGCTTCTCTCCCCCTCCGCCCATGCAGCCCCCCGGAAGGTATCCGAGCGTCCCTCGGAGGCGCTGCCTCTGTTAAAGATCCCCGGGGCTTGGCTGGGCTGGGGAGGAAAATGCTTACGCAGCACATCGCGCTCTGCGCCGCCGCCGCTGCTGCCTCTCCGGCGACGTAAACAAACCCGGCCAGCCGTCGCTGCGCTGTCCGGCCGCTAGGGGGAGGCAGGGCTGGCTGGCGGAGGCGGCGGCGTCCGCGGGATGAAGCCGAGCAGGGCGGGTCCCTGGTGCGCCGCTCGGTTGTTTTTCTGCCGGACTCGGCTGCGATGGGGTGTGTCTGCTCTCCCCCCTCCCCCCGTTCCCCAGGCTCTTGGCTCCGGCGATTTCTTTTTTTATTATTATTTATTTATAATTTTTATTGATTTTGACAAATAACACGTGAATTCAGTACGATGATCCAGCGAATAAACTTTAACAGAGTCAAAAAATTTTCACATCTAAGTAAAAGACAACTATTTTCCAGCAAATAGAACTGCTGTGCGTGACAAGTCAGGCTCCAGCGATTTCTAATGAATCCCCTCCCCTCTCCCCCCCCCCTTTTTTTTCTCCTTGCATTTGATCCCTAGATTTCTTCGCCAAGCGGAAAAGGGTCGTAGACTCGAAAGCGGCCGCGGATCATTCCAGCGCGCTGCCCGCCTCGGCCTCTACTGTCCCCACGGAGCAGACGCCCCGGAAAAGGCTCCGGTGAACGAGGTGAGAGACGGAACGGAGCGCTTGGCCCTTTCTTTGCGCCCTCCCAAATGGCCTGCTGGCGGAACATCGCCAGATCTTGGGGAAGGAGGGAGGGAAGAAATGGGCTGGATTCCTCTGTGTGTGTGTGTGTTAGCTGGGGGAACCAAGGCAGGCTGGATTGGCAGCAGTGTGTCCCCTCTAAGCTGAGTTCGCGTGAGCTAGCTCACAGTTCTTTAGCCTCTGGCGCACACGTTTTCGCCTTCGCTCGGGAAGGGAGGGCTCCGGAGCAAACCGAGATTTATGCCGCAGCCCAATCGCTGGCTTCACAACTTTAAGGCCAGTCGCTCACAGAATAGAATTTTTGCTCACCAGACTCCACACCTTAGAGGAGCCTGGAGCTTGAGAGAGATTGTGTGTGTGTGTGTGTGTGGAGCCATTTGTCCAATTGGCAGAACTTATACACCAACCTTGGATTGCTGTAAGAAAGGCGCTTGCGAGAGAAGCATCGTAATAACTTGGATGCTTGAAGTGCTATATGCCCTCCTTCCCTTTACGCCAGTGTAGATCCAGCAGCGTTTTCCGGATGGTCAGTTCTTGTGTAATGTGGAAGGCAGGGACCCATCCCCCACTCCTGGTCTCTGCAGCTTTTGCTGACTCATCGGCTGGTTCTGGGGGAAGGGGGGGTGAGATAGGGCTGCGTCTTGTGGTGTTCCTTTTGCGTTCACACTCAAAGAGTCATACACCTTGTTAAGTGAATCAGGATTTTTTTTTTACACTTCCTTGTGGTAGAATTGCCTGCATCCGCCAGTTTGTGTATGCGCCTGGAGCTGCAGCGGTGTCCGCCTGAGAGTTCTCTCTGCAAGCTTACTATGTGCAGCCCTTCGTCTTCTCTTTCAGATTTTGCACTACCGCACAGAAGCGCCGTTTCCTCGGCCCTTGGAAACCTAGAGCTTGAGAGGCCTCCTTCTGTCCACATTCAAGGGACTGGCAGAAGATACCAGAGTCCGGGAAAGAAGAGCCGTGTGACTTTTTTTTGTTTCCCCTCTTCTCCTACTCTCCGCCCCAGAAGGAACTGCTTGTACCTCTATGTAGCAAACTGTGGCTCTTGACTGCAAGCCACCTGACGGAGCAGTGTTAATTTACAACTGTGCAATTTATTATTTTTATATAAAAATGTATTATGCCTAATGTGAGTACACTGGCCTGAAGTGTAAAAGCTTTAAAGTCATTTATATAAAAAATGTTTAATCTCTGCTGATTTCTCAGTGCAAAAAAAATGTATATTTGTAAAAAAAGCAAACAACTTAAGAGTTATACTAACTTATATTTTCTATTTATGTCAAAAAAGGCGGATAACTTCGGTTGACACCTAGTAGTCTGTTGTTTGTGTGTGGTTTTTTTTTTCTTATTTGGTTAAGCCAAAGGGCACTATATTTGCTTTTTTTTGTTATTTACAAAAAATGTAAATTTATTTTTATAGTGGGTTTTTTTGCATTCACAAAATGTAGCTATGAATCAAAATTTCTTTAGTTATTACTTGAAAATAAATCTGATACAATGGTTCCTGAGCCGGTCTGTACCACTGCCGTTGCAAACGTATGCCACAATGTTAAAATAAAAAGGAATCTAATTTCAGTCAGCTGCTTTGGTTTTTGTTGCTTTTATACTTTCCCTTTATTCTTGGTGGCTTGCTTAGAACAATCCAAACACTTATTTTGTTAGATTTTTAGGGTAAGATGAATGTTACTCTTATACGATAACAGTTACTAAAATTCCTAGTCCACATGGGGTCCAATGTCTTCCTCTTGGAGTACCATGGGAGCATCACTAGATATCATCAAAGTGCTAGTTAAGACTTGGGGGACAGGAGAATATTCCACATACACAAACTGGCGGATGCAGGCAATTCTACCACAAGGAAGTGTAAAAAAAAATCCTGATTCACTTAACAAGGTGTATGACTCTTTGAGTGTGAACGCAAAAGGTGAAGGTGTTAACTTCTGATGGAATCTAGGGCATAAATGCTCCTTTTGGAGAAGTCCCATTGATGCAGTCCTCAGCCGCACAAAGCTGCTCATGAAATTTCATAGTTAGCTGTAAAGAAAGCTGTAGGGTGTACCACCTTCCGCCAGGGGCAATGAGTTTTTACCACCTTATGGACTGTTCTGCCCCACCCCAGTTATCTAGGGCTGTCTTTTAACTTGCCTTTAGCTGTATCTCTGCAAGAATTCAGCAGGTGAAGCTTGTATATAGAGAAATCTTAGCAGCTGCTGCTTATGGTGCATCAAGTAACTATTAGAGGCATATTCACAAAAGGCTGGCAAAAAACTGGTACCTCTAATACTGGTACCTCTAATATTACATACACCTTTTTTAAAGGAAGTGTTGATTTCAGTAGCACTGACTTCAAGATAAGTATCCTTGGGATTTAGGGTAGAAGAAGAGAAGAAGAGATTGGATTTATACCCCACCCTTCACTACCCAAAGGTGTCTCAGAACGGCTTACAAACTCCTTTCCCTTCCCCTCCCCACAACAGACACCCTGTGAGGTAGGTGGGGCTGAGAGAGCTCTGGCAGAAACGGCTCTTTTTCAAGGACAGCTCTTATCAGAACTATGGCTTGCCCAAGGTCATCCAGCCAGGTACAAGACTTCTTGCCTTTAGCTGTCAAAGGCACAGAAAGACAGCCATTATTAACCTTTCCCTTAGATACTTCCCGGGAATCATGCAAAAAGGGATGCTAAGTAGGATGGTAAAACTGGGGCCATCATAACGTCTGGAAGCATTTGCCCGCGACCCCAAAAATGTAATTTAGATGCAATGGTGGTCGGAGTGGCCTTTCAGAGATGCTTTGTATTTTGTCAGCCACCTTAAAAGCTGGAGAAAGTATGCGTCATCCTGGGAGTGTTCAGAACAAAAGAGGAATCCTCTGACACCTTAAAGATGAACAGATTTATTGTGGTGAAAGCTTTCCTGGGCTACAGCCTGCTTCACCAGAGGAGATGAAATGCAGTGTCAGTGGTTAGTGTCTTTGAAAAGCAAAGAGGCACTAGGGGAATATCTGTGTGGAAGCCCTTCTCCCTAATCTCTATATTCATTCCTTTTGATATGGAGATTCACTTTTTTCTGCTGACCTAATACCCTACTCCCGACCCTTTATTTGAAAGCAAGTCTCACCGATTTCAGTGGAACTGGCTTTAAGTAAATGTGGTTATGATTGTATCCTATCTGGAGGAAAGTGCTCATTAACACCGTGCTTGTGCTGAATGGAACCTTTCTCCATACTTTTGCACTCTTGTCTCTTGACCAACCTTTGTGTGTTTTGTAGCCATTTGCAAATGACAGCGTCTTGTGGCAAATAATACGGGCAACTCAGTTGTCGCGAGGGGTGGGGAGCGTCTGGGAACAGAGGGGTTATGTGAATCTACCCTAAGTCTCCTTGAAATGAGGGCTGTTGTATGCATTAAGCACTTATACATCCTATTGATTTCAATGGGAGGGAGTAAAGCATATTTGAACCCTTCGTTTCTAAGTTTTATCTGTAATACTTTTTGTATGTACAATTACTTGCAAACAATGTGTACATGTGGCAAGCACCTGCTTTTAACTTTGTGTATCATACAGTTCCATGGGCCAGTGAGTTTTCATTGGCTGCAGCTCTATGACGTCTGCATAGTATGTGAAGTATCCTTCTTTGTGATTTAATTTCCAAGAAAGGTATTTACTACTGGCAAGAAGAAACTGGGTTGTTGTTTTTTTGATCCAGAGAATGATAATTGTTGTCTTAATTGAGTTTTGGGTTTATAAGCGGTGTATTCCACCCATTGTCATCCTGCCACCATTAACAAGAGAATCCCTGTTAGTTATACATTAAAAATATAGTATGAAAAAAGAACCATTTGGTCACCTGCTAGAACTCTTATTTCAATGAGAATCCTCCTGTTGGTGTGGAGCAGTGTTCCCTCTAAGCTGAGTGAGTGTGAGCTAGCTCACAGTTTTTTAGCCTCCAGCTCACACATTTTTTTACTTAGCTCAGGAAGGAGGGCTCCAGAGCAAGCTAATTTATGCAGTAGCCAACTTGCTCGCTCACAACTTTAATGCCAGTCGCTCACAAAGTAGAATTTTTGCTCACAAGACTCCACAGCTTAGAGGGAACATTGGTGTGGAGGAATAGAAGGACCCTGTGGTATCACACAGTTGCATTAGACAGAATGACAAAAGAAATGTTTATGAAACATGGCACCACAAGTTCTTTTGTTGCCTTAAATTCAGTTGTCACATTAGCTTTCTTTTGAAGAATGACCAGATCTAACTTGAAACTTCTTTTGAATGTGTCACAGAAGAACTTAATGGCCCGTGTTCCCCTCTGCTTGCACACACACGCCGGCCTTGCAGAGAAGGCCTGATCGGACCCACTTTCTCAAGCAGGCACCTCCAGTTCCACTGACATGTGCCATACTTTGGCACACCCCCTCACACACCACTGCAAGGATTTGAACAGGCCGATTAAATCTCCTAGTGACCTGTTATTTACGGATCATTGGCACGATAAACTATAGTGGCTCTTCTGCTGTGTCAATGCACTCAGGGAGCCCTTAATCCTCAGCACAATAGCTGAGAGCCATTCCGGTCTTGTCCACAATAGTTTATATCTTTACAAAATATTGCATCTCTTGTGCATGCTTCTAAAGACCTCTGAAGAATTACCTCTCTCAGACACAGCCTTAAATCTTCCTGAACTTCAAAATTTTGACCTTTAATAAAATGTGCCTTATCTTTCTTTTTGTTTTTGGTTTTTTTCTTATGTAACCCTGCAGTTGAAGGCTATGGTGCTAAGCTACTTACTTGGAAATCGGTTCCAGTGAAATTAATGGAACTTTCATTTACTTCCAAGTTAAGGTATGCAGAATACTTAAAAGTAAGACAAATTGATCTCAGTGGAACTTGACTTTCTTGTTTCAAGGTGCAATGAAAATGCTGTGTACTGATCCCAATGGAATGTACCACCTAAACTAAATAAGTCTTACAAAAAATAATCTTACTCAGAAGCAAATACTTTATAGGCTAATGTTAAGTACTTTTAAGCCATATGGATTTCAAAAGGGGGGGGAATTAAGCATCTGTTTTACTTTTCCATTACTGCAACTTAAAAGTGCATAAGTTTGGCCCAGGTTATGTTGATTTTAATTTATTCATTGATTTCAATGGAGCATTTCCAACTAAGGAACTTTAGGTCTGCAGTCCTGCAAGAACTTTTGTGGACTTAATTAGACATACTTCATCATCTTTGGATTACTCCCAAAGTTTAGGATCAGAGTGGAATATTGTTTAGAAACAGACATTTGGAAAGGAAGAGAAAATCCAAATCCCTAAAGACAAGTGCTGATTATCAAAACGAAGTGAGAAGAATTAGAGTTGCTCTGGAGTAGGTCCATGTTTGGGATATTCGTTTATTCGTGTTTAGTTTTCAGTAAATGACCTCAGGAGTACCCTAATGAGCCTGCAGCTAAATGAAATATTATGGATTACTGTAAAATATGGACAGTCCCAGACAAATTATTATTCAGAAAAGTGAGCCGACTTGCTGAGGTCTGCTGTGATAAAATTTCAAACTGATGTTTGGAATGGCAAAAAACCCCAAACCTGTGTCTTAAACATCGATTTTAATAAAAAAGGGGCAAAACCAATTTTTTGCATTTAACAATCTCGCCACGTCGTAAACGTTTCGGGTTTTAAATTATCACCAATATTTGTGCAAGGAAGCATAGTACCAACCGAGCACAGACTGTACAGTACACTCGGTACCGCTCGATCCTAGACACGTTTTCTCTCGCCGCACCGATGTACCTCAACCGGATGTGCACGCAGACCTGCAGTCCGCTCCACGCACACCTGGGGCAGGTCCCGTCGAACTCAGTGGGACACGGGCCAGGCAACAGACGTGCTAGAGTCCGCATTATTTCCCGGCCCATCTAAACTGGTCAACAAATATAGGCTCAATCCGTAAACCGGAGACTCTGGGAACTGATGCCCCCAGCAACATAGAGCCGTTGCGAAAGGGAAGACAGTCTCCACAAGTTCCCCGGGGGACAATAGATCCAACCACCGGTGAAGTGAAATCGACACGGTCATTTTGGTGGTCCGGGATGTTCTGGGCTTTACGGTAACTCCTGAGGCTGGCTGACGTGCCTCTAAAATATTCATAAGTGGCACAGTAGTGACCCCCTTCTGACTCCCCCTCCTCCTCCTCCTCCCAGCTCGGCGCACTCTCGGCAATCTTTGTCTTCGCCACACACCAAGCAACTTTGCAATGTTCCCTCTAAGCTGTGGAGTCTTGCGAGCAAAAATTCTGCTTTGTGAGCTCCTGGCATTAAAGTTGTGAGCGAGCCATTTGCCTACTGCATCAATTAGTTGGCTCTAGAGCCCTCCTTCCTGGGCGGAGACAAAAACGTGTGAGCTAGAAGCTAAAAAAACCGTGAGCTAGCTCACCCCCAACTCTGCTTAGAGGGACACACTGCGAGCAAGTCGCTCCAAGTTAAATGCAGTGTCTCTCCAGAGAGTCCCCCCCCCCCCCCCGTTGCACTTCAAACTCACACTAACTC